ATATATATATATATATATATATATATATATATATATATATATATATATAAAGGAGAATGAGCAAAAAGAACTCATAAATAAAGAATAACAAAAGAGAAATGATAATGAAACATAATCGTTGATAAATGATAAAAAGTAAAACAACAATACGAACAGTGCTAATATCACTGTATCACTAATCAACACTCTTTCAGAATTACCCATTTCTGCACATTTCTTCTTTCTATCCTAATCTAAACTTCAGAAGAGCAAGATGAACCGCATATAAAGTTAACCGAAATTGCAATATTACATTAACGTACCACTACTATTAATAACAATAATAATAACAAAAATAATATTAGTAATTAAACATAAATAATTTTAAAAAGAAATGCATCCATTCCGGAGCCATCAGAGTTCTTTTTGACACTTCAGATAAAAGACACAATGATGAAAATAAAACGACAATAGGTTAATTGAGCAATCTATTCAGACGTGTTAAAAAACGCGAAATAGCTTTCACATAATACAACTCAGAAGATGAGACAGAAACACAAAGAGAGCAGAAGAAATTGAGTTGTGGTCAAAATAAAATTGTGGCTTACTCACTGAATAATAATAATAATAATAATAATAACAATAATAATAATGATATCACCAATAACTATGAATGGTGATCACTATTATGAATAGAATCATCAAAAACACATGGAATATAGCAGTAACATCACATATTGCACACGATAACAAGAGAAAAACGTTATGAACACAAGTCAAGCGGAAAGCCTCGAATTCTTTGTGGATCGACCATCTCTACACCATCTTTGATGAATGTCATCATTGAATACTTGAAATCTTTGATGCTCTTCGCATCTAACTAAATACAAATATCAACTGAACATGATGATAAATTATAATTTTCTCAGACTCAATAAAACTGAAGCATATTCTACACCAAACACCAAAACTTCAAAATTGACAGTTACAGTCCACTAATAATATTAATTATTATAAATAGATAAATGAATGAACAAATAATAAATTCTCCTCCTCTACACTCACCCGCTCACAAAATGAACGAACAGCAAAACCGAACCACAATTTATTCACCAATTTCGTATTCGGTTGCTGACCAATTATCATATGGAATCTAAATCCACTAATAAACACATTACTAAAAAAGATAAATAATGCAAAATAAGCAAATAAAAGCGCATCTTCCATTCAGCTGTTAGCATCACCAACATGCTACTAAATATCACTGTCACAATGCTTAAAAAAATGACGGCAGCAATGATAATAAACACTCAACAAGTTAAACTCGAGAAAAGAACCCTTTCGAACGCAACTCACACATTAGACACATCTGGGTTGGGCGAAGATGAGCACAGGAACGCACTTGCGTAAAAGCGAAATAATTCCGGGTCAGTGACGTATTTAAATGACTTTATACTGTTCAACGTCCAATCGATCACCACCGCATCTGTCTCACGTCTATGCAGCACGGAAAACCACTAAACGCTCTTCCCAATTAGATAAGGTAATCATTTATTATTACTTGTATAAAATCAAAATCTGCATCATTTTCATTTCAATTAAAATTTTTATTCAGTAAATAAAATGCCAGCTTATATCAAAAAATGATAATAATAGCATCACTATTAAAATTTTTACTACTATAACTGATAATTCGTTATTAAAGATGTGATAAATAAATCTTCAAAAATCCAACTTGATGAATTATACTAAAAATAGCAAATGGTCTGGGATGACGCCCGTTCGGGTATAGATGAATAAGTTCTTTGAGGACACTATTAATAATTTCACTCTGATTCAACGTATCGATTAAAAGATACGGTAATAGTCGTGTTAAACGCTTCGCATCTTTTTCATCGCCTTCAGCCACACTGTAATTCAACGTTGACTATACAGCAACGGCAATAATCATCACGAACATATATATATATATATA